AACTCATAACCTCTTGGTTGGAAGTGGAGGGTGCTTACCACTAGAGCAACCCACTCTTGTCAAAAGTTCACTAAATAAAAGTATAAATTATTGATTTTGTACCTAATAAATCAAATGAGTTGTGATAGAATTAGCTCGAACTCATAAAGTTCAATTATTCTGGAATTGAATCTGAAAATTTTGACTCTATGAACGTAATTTAACATGTTAAAGCGGGATTTCGACTCTTATAATATTTTTGTTTTTTATATAGTTTTAAAATATATAAATTTAATTTTTAAAAATATAAAGATTCTATTTTCGAATTTACAATAAAAACTAAAAAGTTTGACTTTCGTACTCCAAACTTCAAATACAATTTGAAATGAATTAAAATGATGATAGTAAAATACTTTTATATTATCTGATCTACCCACCCACCCTATGAAGGAAAAGGCCAAAATAGCAGTAACATCTTCTTCCGTTTGGCTTTATTGTCCACCTTCTTTATATGCTTGTCTCCTGCCCCTTAGCTTCTTACTTCTACTACTATATGCATTCAGCTTTTTTTGGCCTTAAAAATGGAAGCTTAAAGATTGCCATTTTATTATATTCCTTTTCAAAGAATACCCTTAATTTCTCGTGCAGATTATTATTTATCCCTTCCCCCCCTCTTCTGTCTAGCTACCAAATAGGGTTACTTCATCTAGCTCTATTCACTACATACAAACTATACAAAAAGTTGAACTCTCTCTTTCAGCAAAAAGGAAACTCAAATATTATACTCAACGAAAAGATAGATTTTACTCCACGAGATCCAAGCTTGACTTTCAGCTGTCCATCGCAATAATCGAGTCAAAATATAAATATGCGCTGAAAGTTAAAAAAAGAAAATAATTTGGGCAGGGAAAAGAAAGGTTTGACCGAAGAGTTCGAGAACATTGGCACGGAAACTTGAGGTATAAAACTTTCCTTCTCATTCTTTTTTTAATTCATTTTACCAAGTTTTTCTTAGTTTATAATTAATAAAATCGAAATTTTGACCAAGAGGTTTCTTGTAAACGAATGAATCCAAGCAATATCTGATTAATTAGTTTGCTAATATAACATCGTAATGAGTGAGACAATAGGTTTTAAGAAATATGAAGCTCTTACTTTCACATCGTCACGGGATCCAATAATCCCCACAATAACTACCCTAAATTCCTTCTTAATATGAGTATTATAATATGATATTCCCGTCGTCCTATTTTAAATGTGGCTTTAGCTTAAAATTATTTGTTCAAATTAACTGTTACTTTAGGAATTTAAGATTAAATTTGTTATTTGTTTCCAACTATACACTTGATATTGATGAAGTAATAGCTCTTTTTAATCCTGCTCAATTCTCAAAACCCATTTAATAGGGATAACTTAGTAAACTACAATATGCATTTTTTTCCCCTCTTAATGGGCGTGAAAAAAGCTAAAATGTCAGTTAAAATGGGAGGGAGGGAGTATATTTTCTTTCATTCTTAATCCCCTTGTTTATTTATTTCACTTAAACCTCTTAGATGTATACTTTAGGTTGGTTTCTGGTTAGCAGAGAGTTCGAGATTATATGGAGAAAATCGCTTTTATATTAATGTAGAGACGTATATTTTAGTCCTGAACTTTCTATTTCTGCTGCTCCTTTCTTCTTCAACCCCTCGTCTTTTTCAGTCATATGATAAATACAGTATTAGGTTTTTGTAGGGATACTTTCTCTTTCCTTTGGTTAAATGGCAGCAGCCAGATCGTGAAAGGGATAAGGAAAAAAAAGAGGTATATTATTTTCCTTTCTTTGTTTGTACATTTCATTTTTTCTCTTTCGGAAATAGATGATAAACATAGAGAAAAGTTAGAAATATGAGAGAAAAGGGTTATAACAAGATTCCAAATAAAAGCTCTTTAGGATGTTCAGATACACTTATAAAGCTTTCTTCCAATTCTTCACAAAATTTATGAGAAAATATATAATCATTAATTCCAATGGTGAAACTGTTAGTTAGTTTAGTGGCAGTCTGGTGTACAAAGCATCCCGCGTTCACGGATTATTCGGGAAAGGGCCACATCTAAGGGGTGTGATGTAGACAACCATATCCTAATGCAATCATCAGTGGTTGCTTCCACGACTTGAATCTATAATCTATAGGTCAGACGAAAATAACTTTACTGTTGCTTCAAGGCTAGCTCCCTTTCAAACTGTTTGTTATTTCAGTGTTCTATTTAATAGGATTATTTTTTTGATTTGTTCCAAATAAGTAGTTATAACTTTTTATATTTCAAAATTCATTGACTTTAAGTTTCTCATTTTATCTTTAATGACATATTTTTATAGTCATCTATAAAAAATGTAATGGCATGTTAATTAATTGATGAAGACCATAAGTTCTAAGTGTATCGTATGCTTCAAAAATCTTTTTTTTTCCTTTTGTTCAACTCTATGCTCAATCTAACATCGTCATATAAAATGCAATGAATGAAGTAGTACTTAGCCTTATTTATAAAGCATCACTCATACTTCACTTCTAAATGATCCTATTTATGTTGTTATTTCCAGGTAGTAAAGAGAAAACAAAGAAACAAAAGAAGAGAAGTTGTTTGTGCAAACTAGCTATAATACTTGTGAATGGCTTCATCTTCATTATTATCCTACTCACCCTGTGCAGCATGTAAATTCCTACGTCGAAAATGCCAGCCAGAATGCGTGTTTGCCCCTTACTTCCCACCAGATCAACCCCAGAAATTTGCAAATGTTCACAAAATATTTGGAGCCAGCAATGTG